AGAGCTATCATGGAGTAGTGATCGTGGGAAGAACCAGCCGACTTCTTTCCCAGCGCCAAACAGGTACCGTGACAGCCACCCTCAGGCTGTCATTCGTCACAAGTTCAGGATGTTTCATGAGACGGTTGACGGGCAAAGGCCTTACTGCGAAGGCTGTAATCTCAATGGCCGCAACCAGATTGTGTGGGTATTTGAGAGTTCACATGTACAACAACAAGCAGAGTAAAGCCGTTTATAATTTCCCATCATATATAACGATTAACGGTGTTACCGCGATCAGCTTTTTATTAGTTCCGTGACAACGACTATAATATGGGGGCATCTGGCTTCAATCCGGGCGTGCGGGTATTGTTCGTGCGAATAAAAATGTTCACCGGGCTGGCCCCGGAAGTGATGGCCTAGGCTTACCAATCCAGATTCTGGAATTGTGGAGAGACTAGTTCCCGACCGAAACGAACACCAGATCCTACCATACCCGGGGCCCATCTTACCAACCCAACTCCGTGTCTCTCTTCTACATCTTTTGTTGTGTTTAAAGCGGTGGATATGGGGTGGCAAGAACAAGACTAACCAAATCTTCAGTTATCGTACATTGATTCAATTGGGTCTCCCTACATTTTCTTTTAGGTTCTAGCACATAACATCAACCAGACTCACCCAACAGAGAAGGTATCCCACGGATTGTAGTGGGCCACTCCAAGACGGGCACTAATCAAAACGGGACGCCTACGAAACCCAGTAACCCATTTTGCCTAGCATTATATTTATACCGTTTAGACCTGTCGATTGCTACCTGAGACCTAAACCCTAGTTAATATATCCGGGGAACTTTGTGGGGGGGAGCTAGGTATGCAGTGAAAGTGACCCGCTCTGCGGGGAAAATGGGGTTTTGGATACCGCGACATATGAGGGTAAGGTTCTAGAAGCAACATTTCCCGTATTGTAGCAATTTTGATCACGATAATGTATAAATACCCTTGCTCTCCGGACGCCGAAAGTGGGCCACTTTTTCCACAGACCATAGGATACAAACCCTAGCCCAAGAATGGATCCCCGTTCAACGGAAAGCTAGATGCTATGATTTTCTACTGTTCAGTGCTATCCGCCCAGCTCACCTCCTCATTCATACAGTCCCTAAAGGCCCAGTAAGCCGCTGTGACCATCGTTGGACTCCCATTCAAATAACTCTCGTCGCTGCCCACACCTGTCTCTTTGAATGCCTTAATGAACTTTGCAAAGGCTTCGTAGTAGGTACTGCTGGCGGTCTTGTACTTGGAGGCGCGGATTTTGGCATGATCATTTATGACCTCAAAAGTCGGTTTCAGGCCTGGGGAAATTAGTCTCAATCTAAACTAAAATCACAGTATTCTAGGGGAGCTCACGAAGACATTCCACTGCACTAGGGGATAGTCCGTACAATTCCTCAAACGTCTCCAGATCTCCTCTTCCCCCGGGGGCTTTGTAGAGTAGGGCGTCAGCGGCGGCATCCCCTCCGTGGGCTGAAATGTTGCCCTCCCGTATGATATTAAAGTCCTCCTCCGTGGCATCCCCCCTCTTATCTCGTCGGTAGGTGCTGAGGAACCGGCTTCTAACCAATCTAGCGGACTCAGATAAATTGGTAAGAGTGGATACACGAGCTTCAAGGGTGGACCTTTCGGATTTGGCACTCAGCGGCCTTTGTCGATTCATCCACTCTTTGCCGAAGTGAGGTGTTTTCCCTCTCGAGTTCACGGACGCGGGAGTGAAGACAACCGTAGACAATCCCAGCGTGATTGGCTATGAATGTGTCCCCATCCTCGATAGTAACATAAAGCTCCTCGGTTCGGAGCGCCTCGTCCAAGCATTGTTGAGCGGCTTTTTTCATCTCCGCTTCAACCCCAAGTTCAGCCCTTGCTACAAGGATGGCGTTGCACCTGGAATCATCTTGATCCTGAGGTACACAAGGCTTGGGATCGCTGGGTTCTGCAATCTCCAAGCGTTGAATTAATTCCTCCTTGGAACCGACCGAGCCAAGCCCTGCCTTGGTAGATTTTCTCTTAAGAAAGCTACGTGAGAGTGTGCGGGCCATAATTGCAGCGGTGTTGGAATTGGGGGTGGTGTCTAGGGTGCGGGTGTGGTATGTGAAGTTTCGGTATGGTGTGTAGGGTTCGGGTGTGGTGTGTAGGGTCAGGTGGTTGTGTGTGCGATCCGTGTTACTTGGTGGAGCGGTGGATGGGGTAACAGGGGCTTATCCAGAGGTAACAGGGTGCAGGGGGGGTACACCTCCTGCTCCTTCAAACTTTGGACTCTCTGTCTATGCTCAGGCTTCATATACATTCACTGTGGGCTGCTAGGTATACGCACCTGCTCTCCTCCTATCAGAACCGCTTCTAAGACTTTTGAACTTCGTCTATGAGCTGTGTTTTGTTAATTCTCTACTCCCGCAATTTTTACACTCAACGAACCGGGCCCCCCAAGTCGTGGCATACCTGCACTGCCCTCCTGGGAGACCCACAAGAACCACCACCAGACGGGAAGGTGCATCGGAGCCCTTCCTACGCATTCAAAAATCCGGCAACTTTGCCACCCTGAACCATCATATCAATGGCTAACCCGCCGAAAGCCCACAGGAAACAAACCAGTGGCACAGGGAGGACGGGCTCAGGCCCCTCCACTAAAAGAAAAATTCTAAAGGCCACTACTAACTCCCTAAGGCTGTCAATGCATTCAGTGAACTCCAAATACCGTTTACTCTAAGAAGGGTCAGACAGTTCAACCTTGACACTCGGGTTACCCCCGGCGTGAGAATGCTACGCAGCCCGCAATCGCAGCCTTCACCAACAAAACCACCGGTCCAACCTCACTCCACTTTGCTGGCAACCGGTTCAAGACAGTCCTGGCTTTGATGTAGCTCCAGGCTCCAATACTGTCTTCGGTCCGAAAGCTCCATACTGGGAAGTTCCCTAGGAGATGATGTTACGAACTGCGCCGCAAGCCCTTACGGAGGGTACCCAAAAATTAGCGGAAGCCCTCGGCGGCCACGGTCCTCTCTGTTAGGTCGCAAACAGGTTTTTATTTACCCACTAACAATGCATTTTGAATTGGACACCATCCTTATGAACGGAGCTGAAATTAGCAGTGCTCTGAATGGGGCAGTGAGTCAGTCCCAGAGGTATAACACAGCGGAGGGTAGTGTGCTGTCGGGTATCAGTGATTTTCTAATCCCCCAGGGCACATGGGGGGAAGGACTATGGCCAACGCGTCACAGGAAAGGGTGTGTCTCACACGGGGATTATACAGTGCTCAGATATATTTTCTGGTTCCATGAGTCTGATAAGAGTGCACCAGCGCCCGCATAAGGCGAGGCTGCTTGGTCATATTAGATAAATGGAATGAAGCATAGAAATCGAGGGATAGGCTAGTCATTAAGTATAAAAACGGAAAAGAAACTGTCTGGAAAACTAATCCGCTTCTGATATCTCACTCTTCCCACATTGACTCGAATTAAATCCAAGGTTTGCAATGTAAAGGGGGGCTAGGCGCACAAACTAAGTTACTCTCCTCCCGGCTGCCTCACACGAATATTTAACTAGGTTAGGAAATAGAATTAGGGGGAGAACCCTTGGAGCCCCGGTATCACCAGCAAGGAAACTTCTGCCGGCGCATATCCAGCAATTAGGTAGTGACAGAAACTTGGTTCAGTTGAAGTGAGCGGGAGCAGAGGGGGATAAAGCGAGTCGGTCAACAAGATCTATTGTCAGGAACTAGAAGGGAATCCCCGAACCGGTATGGGCGCTCAGGTCAACCTCCGCAAGATCATCGCTGTGGGTGGGATTTCTGAACATTATATTCCTGGGTTCTTATGAGGGATTACGCGGGTCGGGGCTTGACAATTTGACCGTAATTGCTGACCCCCTCCCACTTCCCACGTTGCTAGTCTGGCTCACAGGTACCACAATTATCAGAGAGTGTACGGAGATTTCCCTGAAAACTGCTGTACCACAAGTTCAGCCCATCCCCGCTAATTCGCTCCAATCACCTGAGGTCGCCCTCATTTAATTGCTGCCAAAGGTTGTCCTCTACCGGTCAGACAGTTCTTGTGGTCCTAGACACTCCCATGCACCAACCGTCTTCTAGACGTGAGTACCACCGCCCCCACTAGTCATAGCGGCACTGAGACTTGAAAGAGAACAGTGCACACATTTGGCCTTCGAGTCGTGTCTGTGTCTTGGAAGTCACCTCACCAGGCTCTAGAGGGGCCTGAGACTTGTGGGAACGTTGGAGGTCAGCAGTTTGTTACAGTAGTTTGGTGTTCTAGGTTCCGGGTGCAAATATCCCCTATCTTGGAGGTGCGTGGGTGATAGAAGAGCTGCTCATACATGGCGACCAGTAGAAAAATAAAGTCATTGTTGATTATATCGATGAATAAGTGTGAGACTACTCCGAACTCTGCTCTGTATGTCCCAGGGGATATGGTAAAACGGAAATTTTGAATTGTATTTCATGATCATGAGCAATTCCTGTTGCACAATGGTTATAATGATATTCCTTCTAAACAAAGCTGCAAGATTTATTTTTTTGACATACAAGAAGCACAAAACATGTAAGCAGTATCTATATAAAATATTTCACAGATAAGCTAAGGCCCTATTTAGTATGTCACAATAAAAATATATTATAATAAAAGTTGAAAATAGCATATATTCTAAAATAAACTTATAGCATATTTCTGAAATACAGGGGTCTGGTTGTATCGTACAACTACAAAATAAAAAT